AAGCAGGTTTATGGGGTTTTATTTAGCTTCTATAGTTGTTACAATGTTTCAAACTGCAGACTCAGAGGCTGGCAAGGCAGGCGGGGAACGTTGGTTTCCTCCGTCACCGAAGCAAGCAAGCCTCAAGTTAGTTTCAAGCTGCCTGGCTGCCGGCCGCCATCTTGGCTGACAGTTAATTTGCATATCTCGCTGATTAGCCAATGAAAAGGGTAGCGGTCATATGCCAGTTACCATGTTTCTCTTTTATTAGTGTAGATTTATTTTAAAATAATTTTTTGAACTATAGCTTCCAGACTTTAGTTTTTAACAAAGCACTTTAAATATATCTATCTATCTATCTATCTATCTATCTATATATGATTTTCAGTGATTTTCGAGAGAGAGGAAGGAAGAGGGAGAGAAAGATGGATGAGAGAGAAAAATTCATTGGCTGCTTCCTGCACAGCCGCCACCTGGGCATGTGTTCTGACAGGAAACCAAACCGGTGACCTAGGTGCATAGGACAATGCTCAGCCAACTGAACTACACTGGTCAGGGTACAAAGCATTTTTTAGATTTGGTAAAAAATTAATTTTCATAGCTCTCTTAAATGTATATTTTTATCCCTGAAAATCTATACACATATATATGTAAAAGCCTAAGCGACCCAGCAACTGGTCAACTGGTCACTATGACGTGCACTAACCACCATGGGTAGATGCTCAGCAGAGGAGCTGCCGCGTGGTGGTCAGTGTGCTCCCACAGCGGAAGCACTGCTCCTCTGACTGACAGGCGCCAGATGCATGGCCCACGGCTGTTGAGTGCTGCTGCGGGGGCGTGAGCCTCTCCCCATCGACTGACTGGGCGCGAGCATGTGGCAGGCACAGCAGGGCCGGGATGAGTGGGAATGGCAGGCAGCGTGCCGGTTTCAGCCCAATTCCTGCAGGCCAAGCCAAGGGACCCCACTGGTGCATGAATCCATGCACGGCCTCTAGTACTTGTATGTTTAGAAGTACATTCATGCTTTTACTTGTTCATAGGTAACAAAAAAGAGAGACCAGGTTCTGAGGTTTTGACCCTCTTATTAAAATCTTTGCAAACCATAGTGAAATCGGAAGTATTTCCTGTATCAAAAACACTGGTAAGTACAATACCTATATGCTGGTATTTAAAAACCACTCTTTGAAATTGAATTTTATATTGCAGATCAGGATTTGGAAAAACATACCAAGTATTAATCATGAGTTTGGCCATGTAATAAATGCTATTCCATTGACTTAATAGTCATTTGAAAACAAAGTAATGGCTATAATGTCAACTATAAAAATCTTCCATGATGAGAAGAAGGATAAGCCAGAGAGAGAAAATTAGGTAAAAGACATGAAACTTGGATGAACACTAATTTTATGACAAGATTGCTAAGCCCCACTAATTGTTACTTTGTGCACTTAAGAAAATGTAGTAATCTTACGGATCTTTTGCATTTAAATGAATCGTTTTTTTTGTTTTTAAGTCCTCACCCAAGCATATGTTTTTCATTGATTTTAAGGAGAGGGAGAGAGACACACACACACACACACCCACACACACAGAAAATATCAATCTGAGAGAGAAATATCAGTTGTTTGCCTCCCACATAGGCCTGGAAGATTAAAACTGAAACCCTGGTATGAGCCCTTACTGGGATTCGAACCCGCCACCTTTCAATGGATGGGATGATGCTCCAACCAACTGAGCCACACTGGCCAGGGCATTAAATGAAATCTCTCTAACAAACATAATGACATTGATATTAAACATCTCTTTTATTATATATATAGGAGAGTAGAAAAAAAGGCTAATTAGATAAACTTTTTATTGTATTGAATCTCCCCAAATAAGCTGCAGATGGAGCAAACAATACCCTTGCATAAAATCTGAGTCTGCTTCCTGTATGTGTTGTGACAATATCTAGTATGGCAGTCAAGCATAGTGGTTAATAGTAAGGGCTCTGGATCTGGCTACGTTAAATCTCAGCCTATTTATTAGCTGAATGAAGTAGGGCAATTTATTTTTCTTGTCTCTGTTAAGAAAGAATGCAGTGTTCTCACAGAATGGGTTGATATGTACAGAATACTCCAGGAACAAAATACATGAGTTAACAAATGCTATTTATTATCATTAGTATCTGCTTCAAATGAGTATATGTGAAGCATATTTTCACTAACAACAGTTATGTCCCTTTTGTTATATAGTTCAGGTTAATACCAGTATAGTGATATTTTGGATCAACAGATTGCTGGACTGTCACATTTGAGAGACATGTCTTTTATTCAGCTTTTAGTTAGCAATTCTTAGAAATAACTTGCTTCTGGTACTAGTGAGTACATAATTCATTGAAGAATTTCTTTTTGTAATAAAAAGGTAGAAATAGCCTCAAGAGCGATTAATAGAAAAAATGTTTGCATAAATTATGTATGTTCATATAGCAGTTAGACGTGTCTACATATATTGATGTGATGTGAAAATTCCACAACACAGTCAGATGAAGGTCATAATATCTTTAGAATAATATCACTTGTATAATGGTATAAAAGTATGACAGCCACATCTAGAAGATGTTTCTTGGTATACTTATATATATGGAAATTTAGATGTTCTAGAAAAATAAACTCTAAACTCACATTAGTTATCCCTGGAAATAAAGAAGGACTTTGTCATTTTAGTTTTTATATTTCTGTATTTGAACTTTTTAAACTAGTGCAACATTATAATGACAATATATTTAATGAAAGTAGAACAAATTGTTCAATTAAAAAATAGAGATTACTATGTAGATTTTTACTATATAAAGTACTATATAGACCACTTATAATAAAATCTTTGTCTTTCTTAGGTCCTCATGGAAATTACAATTAAAGGACTTCCTCAGAAAGTATTAGGTTCACCAGCATATCAGGTTGCTAATATGGATATTCTTAATGCAAGTATCTTAAATGTTATTATATGATTAAAATGAGCCAAAAAGAAAAGTTCTATGATTTCCCTTTCTTCAAATAGTGAGGCTTAAGTTGTAAAATTTTGAGAAAATTGGATTTGCTGATTATGTTAAAGAAAAAAATGATAGAGTAATGTAAAAAATTAAGTATGTCACTATTTTTTTTAAAAAAATACATTTTTATTGATTTTAGAGAGGAAGGGAGAGGGAGAGAGATAGACACATCAATGATGACAGAGATCATTGATTGGCTGCCTCCTGCACGTCCCCTACTGGGGATCAAGCCCACAACCCAGGCATGTGCCCTTGACTGGAATCGAACCTGGGACCCTTCAGTCCACAAGCCAATGCTCTATCCATTGAGCCAAACCAGTTAGGGCAGTATGTCACTATTAAGGGGACTATTTTCTGGGGTTAAAAGGGGGTTTCAGAAGGAAAGTTTTTTATTTGCTTGTACATAATAATAGTGTTGGTTACCATTACAAATTTTGCAAGTTTAGTAACATTGGCTAAATTGTGAAAGGTGTACTTAATATAGGCAGAATATAGGTATTGTTGGGCAAGTTTTAAGTTAATAATTTTTATATCTGGAATCTGTCACCATTTCTCATTGTACATGGAACAGCTGTGGTTAAAATAATAAAGAGCTTGATTCTTTGGTCAGTTTATTCAAATACATTTTTATCTTTTTGTCATGTAATAAGTTAAATTTTGTAAACCTTAAAAGGATCATGTTTCACATAATTGTAGAAAACAAGTATAACAAGAAGATTGTACTCTTTATAACAAAGAGATTGACCGAAATCTCTCATCTTTCTTCAGGGAACGCCTGCTTTATTCTTAATTAAATTAATTTTCAACAATAATCTCTTGGGATGTGGTGTAGAAGATGAAAGGTAAGTTAAACTGAAAATATTCTTTTAAAAAAATATAGATTTTTTATTGATTTCAAAGAGGAAAGAAGAGTGAGAGAGAAACATCAATGGTGAGAGAGAATCATTGATTGGCTGCCTCCTGCACCTTCCCCCTACTCTCTGCCCCTCCCCCCGGGGGATTGAGCCTGCAACCTGTGCATGTGCCCTGACTGGGAATCCAACAGTGACTTCGTGGTTCCTAGGTCAGTGCTTAACCACTGGGCCACGCTGGCTGGGCTGAAAAGAATCTTTGTTTATCTTGGAAAGGTGGCTTTGTTATGAATAAGATTCTATGGGTTAACAATTTATAATAAATTTTGTCAAAAAATAAAATTTGAAATTCATTTATTGTTTTTGTGTTATTTTTAGAATTGTGTTGCAGTGTAATTAATGTATTTTGGGGAAACATACAGTTTATTTCATGGTTCAAAATTTTCTCTTCAGGTTTTTTCTTAACCTGGAAACACTTGTAGGTTGTGTTCTTTCTGGTCCAACTTCACCACTAGCTTTCAGTGACTCTGTTTTAAATGTTATTGATCAAAATGCAAAACAGTTGGAAAACAAGGAGCATCTCTGGAGAATGTGGAGTATTATAGTCATTCCATTAACCGAATTGATTAATCAGGTATGATAAAAGTCTGCTACATATTTATGTTTCCCCCAAGATTTAAGGAATTTTTTTTCTTGTTAGAGCATTTGAATAAATGAATAGAAGCTTGCATTTGAATAGAAGGTAGTAAATATTTTTCCTGTGATTGGTTCATTTTCTACTTTTAAGATTACTTGATTTCTTTTCATTGCATTTCTGCCTTATTGTTCAATAAAGTATAATTTAAGGGGGACTAATCCAGTTCATTTTCTCCAATAGAGCTTCTAATGCCAGAAGACTCACATCTGATACAAATTTTCACGTTTATATCTTGAGTTCTGTCAGTATTTGTATTTTGGGGAATAATAACTGTCATCTTGACTAGACTGTATGTTAGGATTCTCATGATCAAGCCATGTTAGTAAAGCCATATAGTAGTACCTAAATCAGTAATCTGTTGAGAGTTGATTAGTCCTTACATTTAAATACGTGGCAATATTGGCAGAGTTGTGGAGCTTACATTCTGTCTTTATTGGTGGTTTTCAGCTACTTTATCAATCTTTAAAAATTATTCTTCGGGAAATATTTCACCATAACTCTCCAATGAAGTGATGACTCCGAAGAATTTATTAAGGGAGACTGCAATAGCCTTTATTTTGGCTACTCAAGCCAGCACATCATTCAACACATTCTTCTGGAAGAAAATAGGTGTACGTTTTTAAATATTTTCCCAGTGTTTGAAGGACTGCAAGGCCCCGTTTTTTAAGTCCTTTCCTGAATGCTACCTTCAGAGTGTGGTACCATAAACGATTTTGGAGTCATCTCTGGGATTACTTTTTAGGACTTGAAACAGTGCATTGTTTCTCAGAGTTGCTGTAACAAATTATACCACAAATTGATAGCTTGAAACAACAGCAGCTTCTCTCATAGCTCTCAAGGCCAGAAATTCAAAATCAAGGTGTTTGGCAAGTTTCTCTGGACCTCTTGAGGGAGAATCTGTTTTATGGCTCTCTCATAGCTTCCCGTAGTCACTGACAATTCTTGATGTTCCTTGGCTTGTATATGCATTACTCCAATCTCAACCTTCATTTTCACATGGCATTCTTTATATCTCCTCTAAATTCCCCTTTTCTTATAAGGTGACCATTTGACTTTTTAAATTTTGATTATATCTTCAAAGACCCTGTTTCCAAATAAGATCACATTTGGTTACAGGTGTGAGGAGTTTACCATCTCATGAACATCTGAACCTTGGGGGACACAGTTCTATCCACTACACATTGTATATTAATAATTATCACACTAGAATTGGATGATATATCTAATTTCTTTATAATTTTTCTTGTTTCAGACCAATGAAGTAAATCAAGGTGATGCCTTAGAACATAATTTTAGTGCCATCTATGGTGCATTGACTCTACCAATAAATCACATTTTTTCAGCACAGAAAATTCCAGGGGTAAGGCAATGTCAAGTTTTTACCTAAAGAATTTGCATTTTTCTGAAAACATTGCTTTATCCTTTTAAATGAACTTTCATAGTAATTGTACCAAGACTTTTTTTTATGGCTTAATCAATATGGAAGAAAGGAAAATGGAGAAGAGATAAGCTCCTTTTAAAACACATAACTGTTGGTATTGTGACATTATTACAGTTCTCCCATTACAGCCATGTTGGTGGATGGCAAACTTATTATCCTATGCTTGTTTCTCCTATAACACTTTTAATGTTAGTATTTTTTTAAATGTTAATGATCTATTAGGTATTTGACATGTAAATAGTACACTTAAGTTTTTGGTGTCTGTGTGTGTGTGTTTACTGTTATTGTTAGGCCACCATAAAGACCTTACTTAGAACTTGGTCAGAATTATATAGAGCATTTGCTCGCTGTGCTGCTTTGGTGGCGACTGCAGAAGAGAATTTGTGCTGTGAGGAGCTTTCTTCCAAGATAATGGTCAGTTTGGAAGATGAAGACTTTTCGGTGAGTTTATCCTGATCCTGACCATTTTTTAATTTAAAGGATTATTTCCATGTCTCTGGATCCACTCCGTTCATCTGTTTATTCTGTTATTTTGATTGCACATTTGAGTGAGATCATGTGATACTTGCCTTTCTCTGACTGACTTACTTCATTTGGCATAATACTCTCCAGGTTGAATTTGGGGTTTTCTTTGTATATATTTATCAATTTATTTAACATTTCTGTGTCTTATGTAGTATATAAGTAAAGATGGGATCTGTGTTTTAATAAGTATATTTAAATTCTCATATAATTAGAAATAGAGTATATGTTCTTTTACATTACATCTTTTTGTTTTTCCCTTTCCTAACATTTTATTTTATTTATTATTTTTTAAATATACTTTTATTGATTTTAGAGAGGAATGGAGAGGGAGAAAGAGAAATAGAAACATCAATGATGAGAGAGAATCATTGATAGGCTGTCTCCTGCAGGCCTCCTATTGGGAATTGAGCCCATCACCCAGGCATGTGCCCTTGACCAGAATCGAACCAGGACTTTCTGGTTCATGGGTCAACACTCAACCACTGAGTACTACTCAAATTTGTCAGATTTGAAGAGTTAACATCATATAGATGTTAAGATTCTAGCCCAGCAAGTGAAGAGATGGATATATTACTATTCCACAAATTTTTCACTGAGTCAAACCGGCTAGGGCTTTACTGACATTTTAATCAGGCTTTATACTTTACATGTTTATATATATGTATATGTATATATATATTCTATTTCTTTTATCCTTTTATTATTTAATATATATTTATTGATTTCAGAGAGGGAGAGAGATAGAAACATCAACGATGAGAGAGAATCATTGATCAGCTGCCTCCTGCATGCCCCACACTGGAGATTGAGCCCACAACCCGGGCATGTGCCCTGACCGGGAATCGAAGTGTGACCTCCTGGTTCATAGGTAGAACACTCAACCATTGAGCCACACCAGCTGGGCTATATCCCATTTTAGATAATACTACTCAAATTTGTCAGATTTGAAGAGTTAACATCATATAGATGTTAAGATTCTAGCCCAGCAAGTGAAGAGATGGATATATTACTATTCCACAAATTTTTGTTTTTACCACCTCCCAAGTTATGTTAAAAAGATTTGAGTTTTAGTTATAGTTACTTACACAATAATTTGTATCACAGAATTTTGCAGTAAAGTTAATTTGTTATAGCTTCTTTTGCAAATACATAGTTTGATGTTAATTTTCTTCTTAGCCTTTTTTTCTGTACATTTTAGGATTTTTCCCCCCTAATGTTTGTAATTTATACATTTCACCAGGGTGTGTCTGGGGGCATCTTTTTACATTATTCTTCTAAATACTTGATAGACCTTTTCGATCTAAAGCACTGTGTCTTCATCTCAGGAAATTTTCTTGCATTAGCAGTACTCTGTAGTCCTTTTTGAGTACCATTTTATGCGGGTTTATTTAGGATATATACAATTTATGTAATAAATTAATGTCATTCAAAATACAGTGCTAGAACATTATGCAGTTGAACATGCTAGTAATGTTTGTCATGAAGCACCTATGCTCACGTTAGATGGGCAGCGCCGCTACTGCTAGTGGTTCCTGGATGAATGCCAGAGCAGCACTCATTACCTGCTTGTCCACCCAGCCAGTGCAGAGATTTCTTGAACAGTTCACCTTTCTAATCATACCCCTACACACTACAGTTTTAAAAAAACACACCCTGACAGCTAATGGGTATCTACACACAATCACTCTACAGTAATGCTTGTTATTAAGATGTAATGACCTGGTTGACCCGCTCTGAAACTTTATGGTGGAGAAATACAACAGCAGCAGATAATACAGAAAATGGAGACATTTACTGATGAAAACTCCATCCAGACTCACACAATGAGGGACTAGTGTTATGGGTTCAATCAGCGAGATAGACCACCGACTCAGAATTTAAATTTAGGAGCCTTTATTAAGCTGGCCAGCTGACTACAGCGCGCCCATCCAGTAAGGAGCTTCGCAGCTTGCAGTCCCGACCGAGGGTACAGCAAAGCCTTTTATCTGCAACACTACAAAGCATTTAAAAAACAAAAAAAACCTGCAAAGTGGTTCATTAGCCATTCCTGGCACTGGCAGGGTTCACACAAAGTTTACAAGTACGAATGGGGAGGTAAACAAGTCACACCTGGCTGGGTTGAATCATAATATATTGTTTTTCTAAGACAATCTAGCAATTTTTCTCTGCCACGGTCCCTGACCCTAATACAATCGGTAAACTTTCCATGCCGCAGTCCCTCCCCCTAGCACACTAGCAATCATGGATTAGACCTTTGGGATTTATCTTGTGTTCCTTTTATTTCTCTACATGTGTTTGTGTTTTGCTTATTTTTTTTAAGTCCAGTCTATTTTTTAAAATATGTTTTTATTGATTTCCGAGAGAGGATGGGAGAGGGAGGGAGAGATAGAAATGTCAGTGATGATTGGTTGCCTACCTCATACTGCGGATCCAGCCCTGACCAGGAATCAGTGTGACCTCCTGGATCATATAGATCAATGCTCAACCACTGAGCCATGCCGGCTGGGCAGAAAGCTATTGAGGTATTCTTTGACTCATTGTGCTGGGATTTCCTTTTATTTTTAGTCTTCCCTTGAAACCTCTCCCCATATCTCCAAAAAACACCTGCCCTGTTTAAATAAATTTCCAGAAAAATCTCTGATACTTTTATGGGCTTATTTTTATTTCAGTTAGATTGGAGGAGGGGAAAGACGAGGTATGAGGTAGCTTAGCATCCTTTTAATTTTTTTGTTATGTTTTCTCTGGGTTTAGTGAAGACCTGTAATTTTAAGAGGAATTTAATCAAAAATCTAATTATGAATGTAGCTCTTCCATTCCCAATTGATTCGTTTATATGTTGAGTTTTATGGCCATCTTAAAGCTGAATTATTTTCTCTGTTGACAAAAAAGTATAGTACATGGCACACAGCAGTTAACTGAGAAATATTCATAACCTATACTTAGTGTAACTTATATGGTATAAACTATCACTTGTGTGTTATTGTAAATTATATATGGGAGTAAAAGTCTTATAATTTTTGTCAGTGCTTACTATTTTGGAAAACTATGCTAGTTATTGGAAGTTTTTAATACTTTTAATTATTCTTCTCTAGAATTTGTTGTTCTTGGATAGGATCATTCATGTTATTACTGTAGTGGTTGATTGCATCGACTTCTCACCATATGATATTAAAATTCAGTCCAGAGTTAAATGTAAGTATTTTCTTTACCTTTATTTGTACAAATATTTTATAAACCTGGCTGTCTAAACTGCTGTCATGGCAAATTCTAATGGTTTTCCCACGTCATTTTACCTAGTTTTGATACTGTATAACAATGTCAATTACTATGCTAGTTACACTTTTGAAATGAACTCATTCTCTCTCTCTCTCTCTCTCTCTCTCTCTCTCGAAGTACACTCATTCTCTCTCTGTCTCTGTCTCTGTCTCTCTTCCCTTTCTTCAGTTCTCCCATTCCCTCTCATACATACAATGTCTTTACTCCTTGTTATAACTCAGAAAGACAAATATTATCCTGTCTAGACATTGCCTAATCAAATGATTTTACTTATTCCAGTCGGTGCAAGGGATTATAGCTTTGATGTTTGCTAAAATAAAAATGTTCTTACTTGTAGACTGATTTGGAATAATCATTGAATTGACATTAAGTTTAAGAGAAAATCATGGCAGTGATTGATTGGTTATGATTTACAGAAAATTTAAAGTGATTCTAAAAGAATTTAACTTAGTTTTCATTGAGTTAAAATTGCACAATTAACATAGTGGTATGATTTTTAAAACTATGCTTTGGTTCATTCTAATAATGAGCTATTTTAATCTAATTGATTCTTTGAAATTAAATGTCTCCACCGATGAGTATACAGTTGAACCTCGTTTCCCAGTCATGTATCTCTCAGGTGACAAAGGAGAGAATGCATGAATTTGAGTCACTTTACCACTTAAAATCTCAAGATATTGTGCTGTGAATATTTTCATTTTTTGCTTTTGAGTCTGCTTATAATTGTTATATTTTCATTTTTTTACTGTACATATCTTTCCCTTTGTTAAATTTTCATGTCATGTCTTTTTTGTTTTGAAAGTGTTTACAGATTAAACAGTACAATAGACATGTATGTGAGAAAGATTAAAATGGGATCATTTGGGGGTCTGGGATGAATTAGTTCAATTTACATTATTTTAATGCAAAAAAAATGATTCCATTTTCGAACAGCCTTTCGGGGTGAATTAAGTTTGAGAAATGAGATTCCACTGTATATATTTATACTATGTAGAAAATAACTTTCCAGTAATCATTAGAGCTAATTACTTTTCTTATGTGGAACAATTCCCAAGTTTTATCTTTCATGACCTTCAAAAGTGAAGAGCACAGGCTTATTTACCATTTGAGAATCCCTCCATCTGGCCTTGTCGATATTTTGTCAATATTAGATTCAGGTTTCATTAATTTCTTTACAAGGATACTTCAGAAGTAATGCTATAGATTTTTCTAGTGCATTATGTCAGCAGGCATTATGCCAGTTTGTCCCATTAGTGGTCATGTTAATATTTACTATTTGTTAGGATGGTGTCTGCCAGGTTTTTCCCTATAAAGTAAATTAGTAAATTTGAGTCTTACCCTTTTCTGTATTTGTCTACTTCAGTGATGGCAAACCTTGGTTGATTTTTCTTTGTTAAATGGCATTTAAATATATAAAATAAATACCAAAAATATAAGTTCTTTGCAATTAAGAAATTAATGTTTTGTGGCAAATACTTTGAGATATTTAAATATCCTGTTCCTCAGCAAATTTACAGTCATGAGTTTATCATTCATTGATGCTTTTTGCCTGAAACACTAGGTTGATTCCCAAAGTGAGTTTATATTTCCAAGGAACGTGGTTCCTTATAGCTGAGAATGGCATTAAGAAACTGTAAGATCTGTTCATTGCCACTATGGTATCGCTGTTTCTGGATCCCCTCAGTGGACAGGGGTGAGAGAAATAGATGTGTTTGTGAACTACACAGTTACTTGTTTCTCTAGATCAGGGGTGGGGAACATCTGGCCTGCAAAGTCATTTAGTCTGGCCCTGCCAAGGCATTAGGGGTGAGTTAAATATTTGACCAAATATAGCAGGTAATTTTTAAGTTGATAGTTTTGTATGGCCCAAGAATGATATTACAAATATCCAAATGGCCCTTGGCAGAAAAATGGTTCCCCACTCCTACTCTAGATATTTGAGTCTTACCCTTTTCTGTATTTGTCTACTTCAGTGATGGCAAACCTTGGTTGATTTTTCTTTGTTAAATGGCATTTAAATATATAAAATAAATACCAAAAATATAAGTTCTTTGTTTTACTATGGTTGCATATATTCAAAAATTTCTCTATGTGACACGGCACCAGAGTTAAGTTAGGGTTTTTCAAAATGCTGACATGCCAAGCTCAAAAGGTTCGCCATCACTGTGGCTCAAAAGGTTCGCCTCAATATATTTACTGTTTAATCATTATCTTGTATGTAACCAGTCTCCGGTCTTCTCAGCCTCAACATCCTGTCCACGAATTTTTGGGTAGACATTCCAAATTATATTCATGTCTGGGAAAATGCTGTTTCTAGGGAGGATTATTGACTTTCTTTTATTAACACTTGTTTTGCAATTCACTACATGATATGTTTAATTAACAAGCACTGAATTAGAGTTTTCTCTTGAATCTGACATCTTACTGTAAGAGAATGGATTGAGGGAAACAACGGTAATTTTAGAATGGGGTTTATTCCTGTAGGTTAGGTACCTTAACAGATGGAGGGTACAAAGGAAAAGTTGAACAATGCTTTTAAGAGACATTTTTTTTTCTTTAAAGACTTTGTTTTTCTTTAAATCTAGGCCTTTTTAAAGAAACATTTCTGCCCTAGTTGGTTTGGCTCAGTGGATAGAGCATCAGCCTGTGGACTGGAGGGTTCCATGTTACATTCCAGTCAAGGGCATATACGAGGATTGTGGGGTCAATCCCCCATGTAGGTGGGGAGGGGCATGCAGGAGGCAGCCGATAAATGATTCTCTCTCATCATTGATGTTTCTCTCTCTTCCTCTCTGAACTCAATAAAGTTTTGTGTGTGTTTTTAATTCTTACAATTTGTGGATCTCTTAACTTGTTCAGTGTTATTTCTGGGTTCAGTGTAACATATAGATGAGGCAGGAAGCACTAATTTCTAAGGAAAATTTTGTTTTTTAAAAATATCTTTTTGTTGATTTCAAAGAGAGGACAGGAGAGAGATAGAGATAGAAGCATTGATGAGAGAGAAATATCAATTCGTTGTCTCCTGCACACCCCCTACCAAGGATCGAGCCAGCAACCCAGGCATGTGCCCTGACCAGGAATCAAACTGTGACCTCCTTCCTGGTTCATGGGCCAAAGCTCATTGACTGAGCCACACTGGCTGGGCTGTTTCTTATTTTTTAAAATGACTTAAGATTTAATTTGGAAACCTATAATTTAGTACTTTTTTACAAATTAATTGTTGAAATTCTGAGGCCATAAAATAAACTTTTGAAATGCTTCCTTAGAGAAAATGATTCATTTTTTCCTTTTTTCCTCTAATTTTGTTTTAAAGATGTTGTGATGATATTTATCCATTAATGGTATGTATATCATTTTAAGATTTGTGGGTATTACTAGTGAAGCTAGTAGATGTATTTGTCATT